GTGAGAGTTCTTTATATATTTTGGATATTAACCCCATATTGGATATATAATTGCAAATATTTTTCCCATTTTGTGGCTTGCCTTTTCATTTTTATTGATTGTTTCCTTTGTTATGCAGAAGCTTTGTAGTCTGATGTAGTCTCACTTGTTTATTTTTTCTTCTGTTGCCTTTGCTTTTGGAGTCAGAGCCAAAAAATTATTGCCAAGATTGATGTCAAGGAGCTTACCATCTATGTTTCTTCTAGGAGTTTTATGATTTCAGGGCTTACATTCGAGTCTTTAATCCACTGTGAGTTAATTTTTGTGTATGGTATTAGATAATAGTCTAGTTCATTCTTTTGCATGTGGCTATCCATGAAGAAACTGTCCTTTCCCCTTTGTATATTCTTGCCTCCTATGTTGTTTAAAAAAAAAAAAAAGGTCTTATTATCTTTTAGTTTGATGAATAAAATTGTGTTTACCTTCCCCTCCCTGGTCTTTAGTTCTGGGTATCTCCCCATCCCCACCTTTATAGGCAGGTGCTACTGTAGGTGGCAGGCCCCACAAGCGTGCTCCTGCCCCCATCGCTGATGTGACTCTTAGTCTTCTGGCCTGTGTGTGGCATTCAGGTGGCTGTTTCCCCAGCTTCAAGGTGAGACCTTTGTTGGAGAGAACAAGATTTCTTTGCCTCCTTTTTTTCCCCTTCCCAAGCACATCTATTTCCCTTCCCCTTGGGTGGCTCAGGGGGCCCTGATGGCTGGATCTTGGAAACTGGCTGCCTTACACTTTCACCTGCCCTGTCTCTCTTCTTCCTGACTTCTGTTGACCTCCTGTTCCCACTCCACTGGTCCCTCCCTCACAGTACTGCCACTGCACTACTGCTCCTGGCTTTCCTCACTGAGTGAGTTTATGTGACCTTCGCACTGCATTCATGCTTTGGGACTTAGCTGCTGCGATGATGTCAGTGTCACAGGTTAGCAGATGGCAGCAGCAGCAATGAGACCTGACATGTTCTAATGACTCCCTCCTTCCCATCCTTGCTGGCTGAGCTGATGGAGGGGCAGGGGTTTCCTTGAAGCATTTTAGGAGGGGGCCAAGGAAAATAAGGTTTGGGAGGGTCCCAGGTGCCGATGAGGCTTGTGACCTTTGCTGCTATAATATCAGTGTTTCACAAGCGGGGCAGTTTAGGAGCCCACTTGCAGCCCATCAAAAATTGATTTAATTGCAATTTTTCCTCCAATTAGGAGCACTAGAGCCTGACTAATTGGAGTAATAGAGAGTAATAAGGCTCAGATAAAAAGCCTTCCACGGCGGCCTTTGTATCTTGTGTCAGTGCCTGTCAGAGGTCAGAGAGCTTGCATATTCTATTAGGCAGCCCAGCCTTCATTTGTACAAATTAGTTTACCCAACAGTAATTAAAATGCCAATGCGGGTTGAAGAGAACTGAATACACTTGATGGGCATGTTGGTGAATGATGTGACAGCTCTGGTGGCCTCCCTTGCCAAAGTGTGTCAGCCTCGGCTCAGAGGCGGCTGGGGCCTGGGCCAGCTGGGCGGCTCTGGGCCAGCCACGGGGCACAGCTGCTGAGCATGCCACTTCTGCTGCCCCTCCTCAGAGCCACTCTGTCTCTCCTTTCTTCTTCCAGGTGGAGTCATTTGTTCATTCATTCATTCAACAAGCATTGGAGTTTTCAGTATGTGTTAGGGATTGTACTAGGTGCTGGGGAGAGAACTTATGGGGTAAGGGGTATAAAATCACTTGGGCTCTGGAATCAAGACTGACTGGGCTCAAATTCTAGTCCTCCTAGTTGCTCCTTGTGTGAGCTAGAGCAACTTACATTACCGCTCTGTGCCTCAATTTTCTTGTCTGTAAAATAGGGAAAGTAGAACTTACTGCACGGGGTTATGAAGATTAGATAGACTGATGCTTTTGAAACACTTGCTCAGAACCTGGCACCTAATAAGTGCTCAGTAAATTACTCATAATTAAGAGGGCCTAAAATAGGCCCACACCCAACTAATTTCCCTTCTTACTTTCCTCTCTCTTCTATATTTTGTTATTTCCTATTCCTCAATATGAGTACCAGAATCCCTAATTTTCCTGGTGTCTCTCTCTGATGTGAGGGCCCCTATGTCTACTTCTTGGGCCTGGTAATGATCTCTGTGACCAGGTTTGCCCGAGCTGGGGCCAGGGGGCCAGTAAGGTAGGTTGGGGATCTGGGCACAGAAGCAGAAACTGTAGAAGGCTGGCTTCTGGTAAAGGCTTTCTTGTCGAACAAGAGTAGAGTTTATGGAGTCAGACTGACTTTTAGACCCTCAAGCTGAGAGAGCTTGTGCACATGTGTATGTAAGATGAGAGAGAGTTTTAGGTACTGTTGGTATTTTTTTAATCTATTGTCTGGTTGTGTTGCTTATAAGGGACTTCACTGCCCCAGTATGGCTGTGTCATGTGCCATTCAGGTCTGAGTCTGCTGATTTGGGAATTATTCCTTTAAGAAGCAGAGGGACCCCTTTCACAGCCCATGTGACTAGTTTCTCAGCCTTGTTGGCTGTGAGCTCTGGAAGGTGCTTTCAGTTCAAGTCCATGGAATTGTCCTGAGTGCTTCTTCTGGGTCAGGCACTGTGCTGGGCACTAAAATACATAAGAGCCACCAGATAGTTCATGATCTCAAAGGAAACATGGGAAGATAACCCCCCAAAATACCACTTGTTCCAAGAAGGTGAGATCCAAGTGTGGTAGGGGCTCAGAGGAAGGATAGTCAAGCCACCTGGGCGCCAGCAGCTTCTGCCTCTGCCCATTTGGCACAGATCTGCTGTCCCTGTCCCCGGGCAACCCCCATGGGTTTGGGTTTGAGTCCTGGTGAGTGTCTCCAGTGGAAACTGGTTCCAAATCTGCTTGACTGTTGCTTATATGTTTTTTTACTGAGTGTCAAATCTAATTAAACTCTTAGGTCCTCATAAGTGCCAAGGGGACGCTCTGCTTCCCCTCCTTCACTTCCTCCGTGCTTCACATGGTGAAGTGAGGGCAAAACAGCTTGTGGAAAGAATTATGCATGGGTGTCATACTCCAGCAACTGAGAAAGGCCTTTGTGGGGTATGAAGGTGAGAGGTACCTCTCATGGTGGCAGATGGACAGGGCCAGGGTGGGTGGGCGGACAAGAATAGAGCACAGGAGTCCCAGGTGAAGGTGTTCCCATCCCTACCCCAGCCTGCTGGCAGGTCAGAGCTGTGGGAGTACAGGGATTCAGGTTCTAGGTGCCTACCATCTCTCTTTTGACTTACCTGACGCTAACGTCAGAGACCTGCCACAGGCCTCCTTAAGAGATGTCTCTGCAGGCCCCCCTCACCTGGCCTCACATCTTCAAAAATCTGGAGAGCCCAATTGCCTGCTCCAACGATTTCCAAGTGGCTATTATGTTTCCAACCCAAGGTAATTGGCTTTACCAGTTATTAATGGATTACCCTCAAGAGAAAAATGTTGGAGGGAGGTAAGGACAATACCTCCTGGCTTAGTAGTTTGGGGCTTCACTGTGCAGCGGCCACTTCTCAGGCTGGGAGTCACTTGGGGCATGACAGAGTGGCTGTTTGGGCACACCACTCTAGTTTAGTGGCTGTTAGCACTCCCATGGGTGGAGACGAAGCTAGGATGATGGAGCATGTCCCTAGAGGAAGTCTTGGCTCGAGGCATAGAAGCCACAGGGTGTCTCACGAGGCCATTTTGTCAGTGTGGGGTTGAAAAGCAGACACCTGCCCCGCAATTTGGATTGTAAATCAGTGCCTTGGCCAATGCCTGCCCTAACATCTTCCCAGTCAGTAACTTGCAGGCCAACTCCCCCTCCCTCCTGCCCCCAGCCAAAGTCTCTGACTTCTTCAGAGCCCTCTCTGCGGAAATCCATCTCCCCCCTGACATGCTTGGGATCAGAGAGCCACAGGTGCTGGGCAGGGCCAGGGCGGATGGGCTGCTGCCCTGAATTGCTAACATGTCATTAGTATGTCCAGTCCCCTCCCCCTAGGCCTGACATGTAGGGACATGGCCCTTCCCTGCCCCAGGCTCCTGAGCGATACAACTGCTTTCAGCTCTCCTGCTTGCAGTTTAGGTTTTCAAGCCCTGGGTTCCTGTAGGCTTCCCTTCCCCACCCCTGCCAAATCCTCTAACAAAGGAGTGGCCTGGCACATAGGTTCAAGTTCTAGTCCTAGCACTACAGCCAGCCTAGCTCATTGCACTGATCCTTCTCACTGGGCTTGTGCCTGCAGATTGTATTTGTTGAACTTTTTAGGGATTTAAGAGACACTCTGGGAAAGACGGCCAGAATGTTCCTTCTCCCCTGCCTCTTGGCAATGTCTATCGTCCTCTAGACTCTGCTTGACTCCCATCCCACTCCACAGCAGCCCTGGCTGCCTGGCCCCTCACATTCTCTGCTCTCCCACCTTCATATACTAGCATTTCACCTATTTCATCTTTTCATATTGTTACTCACCTCTCACCATTTTCTTTCTCTCAGATTGGTGCCTTGACATCTGCCCTGTGCTTGTACCATATTACCAGATTCCCTGAGCTCTGAAAACCTTCAGGAGTGCCCCCCAGCCACCCTCAGCTCTGGAAGGACATTGCCTTCCAGCACCCAACAGCCTATTCCCAGGAGACCATTCCTGTGCCATGGCTTTGTGAACTTCATACAACTTAAGCCTGACAGGCTTGCTCTCCCTTGGACTCAGAGTAGCGCACCTAGAGATCTGTTTTTTATGGGGAGCAGAGACCATGCAACTAGGTCAGAGTGGCAAGCTCAGCCGTTGTTGAGCCTGTGGCTTCTCTGGCCAGGCAGCTCTGGGAAGTTGCAGCCCTCACCACACTTCCACTTGTCTTCCCACAACTCCTCTGATGGCTCTCTTGGCTGCTTCTCTCATCCTGGCTTAACCCCAGAACCCCCTGGAGAATGAGCACTGCACCTTCCATTCTGTAGCCATTTCCGCCACAAGTTCTGACAAGCCAGACCTGACTCTGCTCTCCTTTTGTTTGGCAGCTCTTTTGTGACAGGGACGGCTTGTTGTGGGCACTTCTCACCCCTGAGAATCTGGGACCTCAACAGGTAAGAGATTCCTGAGCCCACCATGGCTTGTGGTGGGGGTGGGGGTGGGGCTGGAGCTGCCAGGGAGGCAGTGGAGAGAGCTGGCTGAGCCAGCTCCTGCTTCAGTTGGTTGCCCAGTGGTCCAGGAGGAGGCTGGGAAAGACCCTTCTCCGAAACCCACTGACAGCCTCTGTTGTGGCACTTTTCATATGGAATCGTTCTGTTAGCTTGAGAAGACTGTTGAAGTAATTTATAATTGGTAAATAATTTCATGTAAAATTTATAACAACATTTTGGATTTATGATACTTTTTCTCTGAGGAGTGCCTGACTATGTGGCTACATAAAATCCCATCTATCCTCAGAGGTGATTTTTTTCAAAAAAAAAGAAATTTTGGAAGTGGCCTACAGATCCATAAAAAGAATTCTATAGAACAGTTACAATATAGACAGGTTTTAGTCACAATTCTTTGCCTTGGCAGGCGTGACATATTCCCATCTGATTATCTGCCATTCTATTTGCATGGTTTTAAAAAACTTTTTAGTTTGAAATAATTATAGATTCATAGGAAGTAACATCTTGCATAATATAATATCAAAACCAGGAAATTGACACTGGTACAGTCCACAGACCTTTATTCAGATTGCACTTGTGTGCATGTGTGCACATGCGCGTGTCCGTAGGTGTAGTTCTTTGCAATTCAGGTGTGTAGATTCAGGTAACCACTGCTACAATCAAGATACAGAACTGTTTGTTCCATCAGCAAAAAGATCCCTCATGTACCCTTCATAGTCGTACCCTTCATCCTCCACTCCGTTGTCCCTAACCCCTGGCATCCACTTGTGTTCTTTGTCACTATAATTTGGCAACTTTGAAGGTATTATGTAAATGAAATAATATAGTATGTAACCTTTTGAGATCACCCCCCCTTTAAATCAGCATAATTCTCCTGAGACTCATAGAAGTTGTTACACATATCAATAGCACTTTACTTTTTATTGCTAAGTAGTACATTCTTTGGTATGGATGTACCAAAGTTTCTTTCCCCATTGAACACAATTCACCCATTGAAGGACATTTGGGTTGATTTCAGATTTTTCACTATTGCAGATAGAGCTGTAATGAACATCTGTGTGTAGGCTTTTGTGTGGACTTAACAATTTAATTACTTTGGGGTTCATGCCCAGGAGTACAATTGCTGGGTCATTTGGTAAACGTATGTTTGGTTTTTTTACCTGCCAGACTGTTTTGAGTCTTTACCATTTTATATTCTGACTCCAATGTATGAAAGATCTAGTTTCTTCACATCCTCAATGGCATTTGGTATTGATGCTACTTTATTTTTTTTGCATCAAGTCTAAGAACTCTTCACCTCACCCTAGGCACCTACATTCTGGTTTCAGTGCCATAATTAGCAGTGAGAGTGTGCTCATCTTGCCTTTCCCCTGCCTCAGTTGTTCTAGCTTGTCTTCTTTTCTCTCCATCTCCCCAGGAAAATGTTAGCTATATCTTTTTTCTGAAATATCCATTGTGTTGTCAGTCTTTGCAAAATATTTTTTTTTTATAACACATGAGGTAGCTTAATTAAATATGGTTTTCTCTACATTTTCTTGATGATCATATGACTGCAGGGGTAGGAAACTCACGACTTTACACTAAATACCACATTACATCTTTGGACAGCTCTGAGAGTTAGAATGCCTCCCGGTCATTGAGGGTTGATCTGCCTCCTGGAGGTACGATCCCAACAAGAAGCAAGTTGAACCTCTCCTCTGAAGACAGGCCTTTAGATTTCAGAAAACTTTGATCCTGCTCCTCTAGGATCCTCTCCTTTCTGGGGCCAAAAGTCTGGGGCCTTCAGTTGTTGCTCATAAACATAGTAGATCAGTTAGGGTGCTTTAGTCTATAAGCAATGAAGTCCTAATTCAAAGTGGCTCAAACAATAAAGGGATTATTACTGTCTTACATAGCAAGAAGTCCAGAAGTTGGATAGTTGGTTAGTTCTAGGATTGATGGGTTCAGTAGCTCAATGAGACCATGAGGCCCATTTTCTCCTCAGCTTTCTGCTTTGCCAACCCAGTCATGGTGGCTTTTGCCCTTTCCCACAGGCTTGTTTGCAGAAGGTCTTCCAGCTCATAAGGCACTATCCAAAGGGAAGAAGGAAGGAAGAGGACGGGTCCCTTCCTGGGGTCCCTTTCAGCTCATAAGGCACTATCCAAAGGGAAGAAGGAAGGAAGAGGACGGGTCCCTGCCTGGGGTCCCTTTTTAAGATGAGGAAGCCCTTCCTAGGAACCCCCATGCAGACTTGTTATATTTAGTGAGCCAAAAGTGTATTCCAGTACTCACCCTAAGCCAAACTCTGTCAAGTGAAATGGGATGACCAGTCAAGATTCACCTTCTGGGAAGAGCTCAGCTTCCTACCATGCACATTGGCAGTGGGGGAGGAGGAGGTAGGCACATAGAGTTTGGTCAGCAAGAAAGAAAGTGAGGAATAGCTAGATGGGTGACCTACCATGTTGGTCTCACACTGGTTTTCAGGACCATCCTCACCTGAAAATTTCTCTAACTTAACTGGTTTGATCCCTCTTGAAATGGGGTGTTCACAACTGAGTATTGAACATAGCAGGTGTGGGCTGATGAGTGGCAGGTGCTATCACTGCCCTTATTCCAGATCTTCTACTTTTGTTACTGTAGCTGATCGCATCACACTTTTGCCAGCATAGCTAAAACTTCCAACGGCTCCTTTGTTCTGTAGCCCCTGGCATGTTGGAGTTCCTGCAGGCTGTGAAAGTTATTCCCATGGCTCATTCTGCCAAACTCCTGCTACTGGCAACTTCTTGCATCTAATGGGGTTGGGGAAGAAGGAGCCCCTCCTCTGGTGTGTGATGGGGAGGCTGTGAGAAGTGACAGAGGGAGCACAGGCTGTGTGGTCAAACAAACAGACCTGAGTTCTAGAACTAACTTAGCTGCTTATTCTAGGATCTAGGGGGCCTTTCTGGGCCTCAGTTTCCACATTTGTAAATGGGATTTAATTATCCCTACCTGATAGAACCAATATGAAAAAAAATTATTTTCAAAAAGTACTCACACAGTGCCTGTCACCTTGGGGGCAGTCAACCACTTTAAGCTGTCTCCTTCCCTCTCTTCCTACCCATCCACTGCTGTCTTCCACATTGGTACCATGGAGTTTGTGGAGGCTCACCCTTTCAACCCTCTAAACATTTGTGGCCTATGACCAGTGGAAGGGGAGAGGTGGTGAACCTGCTGACGTCATGGCATAGAGAAGGCTCTTGATAATAAGGCTGTAAGTCACAAAGATGGACCTTTCTGCTGAAGGTCAGTTTTACTGGACCTGGTCTTTGGCATCATCACTGGCTTGGGCCCAGATGGCGGACAAGCTAGCAAGGTGGGGGATACACCCCCATAGCCCAGCTCTGTCTTGAAGATTGAGTTGCCTCTTTTGCCTGTGGTTGCCTTGATGGGGTATATGCCTGGGCACAGATTTATGATCAGGATGGAGTTCTAAGGCACCAATCCTTGAACAACACGGTTTTTTACAGAACCCAAAAACAACCCAAATGAGATACAAGATAGTTACGACCTCAATTCTCACTGGAGCCAGACAAGAAATAGCCTCTGAACCCTCTGACCAGCCTGTGGCAGGGCTGCCCTGGGTATCATTCCCTTCTCTCTAGCCTCCATACTGCCCTCCTCACCACTGAGAGGAGCCAGGATTTGTTTAAACCTCTCTCCTGTCCCCAGGGGAGCTTGGAGGACCCAGTGGTGCAGGTATTGAGGGAAAGATGCCCTGATGGAGGCATCTGCTTTTGGTGGGAGGAAATGCATGGACAGGATGACTCTCTGTAGCTGTCTTTCCCAGAGAAGCCTGAGCAGATAATAAAGCTGTGTAGAAAATAGGATTAAGGTAATGAACAGGCAGGACAGAGTTTGATCTTTCAATAACGCAAAGCCTGACTGACAAGCCAATCTGGAAGGTGGAGCAACATTGCCGGCAGGACTCAGCAGTGGGGTGGTGTGCGGTGCTGGGTGGATTCTTTTGCTTTTAACCTGTCACCGCTGAAACTTGAGGAGCACTGGGATTTTCTCTTTTATGTGTGCAGTGACTTGGGGGGAAGGAGTACTGAGGGGCAGTTTTGCTCTGAGCACCACCTCTCCAGGAGCTGCCCTCAGGATGATGGTGGGGGCTGGGACACAGCTCAGAAGAGTAGGTGCCCTGCTGAGTATCAGTACTTTCTCATCCACGTGTCTCTCAGTATCGTCCTCAGGCAGCCTAGCCTACTTACAGTACCTGGGGATGCCTCTCTCTCCTGGAGCTGGGGACCATGGGCTGGGCCCAATAATAGGATTTCTAACCTGTCTAAACCAGGCAGAAAGAAAGATGGAGTCCTTCATCCAACCTGGAGGTGCCAGCAGTGTTCCTGCTTCTGAGTGTAGATGTTCTTCAGACCCAGTCCCCAGCCCTCAGGGATGCCATCTTGATAGACAGTGCCAACAGCCAACCACTGAAGCATCCTTAAAGTGTCCTTAGCTAGGCCCTAGAGTCCCATCAGGCCTCAAGGTACTGTACCAAAGCCATCCTGTTCTAGAGGAATCAAGGCCCATCTTGTGTTCTCTGTCCACATTTGAGCAGGGCCCTTGGCCAGGCCCCAGGGAAGTGGGGACTGCCTCCTACCTGCTGGAAGGTGGGGGTAGGGGTGGATCTGACTGGCCTGAAATAATACCCACCCTCCTCTCAGGGCTTGTTCTTGCTGTGGGTTATACTTTTCTGCCAAGGAGCTTTTGAGCTGGATCTAGCATTGGTGCCTTGAGAGCAGGGCACAATGGTCACCCTGGTGGTGATGGGCAGCTGGGCAACAGGATGAAGAGGCCTGTGATCCCAGACCTGGAAGTGTCACAGTGGGTCCAGCCATAGCTCTAAGCCAGCCTGGGAACTGTCAGATAGGGAAGGGGGTAGGCGTGGGCTTTGGTGACCTGGCTACTCCTAGGGCATTAAGGGTTCA